GGAGCCGCCCGGGGACTGGGGGCCGCGGCCGGGAGTCGGGGTCGTATTCCGGGCCGCGGCCGACCGGGCGTGTCTGCCTCTAGGTGGGAAAGATGCAGGGCAACAAGGGCTTCAACATGGAGAAGCAGAACCACGCTCCGCGGAAACAGCACCAGCACCAGCAGCACCCGCCGCCGTCCATCCCCGCCAACGGGCAGCAGGCCAACAGCCAGAGTGAGTCCCGGGCACGCCGCGGGGGGCCGCCCGGCCCCGCTTTGGGTAGGCGTTGTGCGACCGCCCTCACTGCGGAGGGTAACTTCGCGTCCCGGTCCGCCGCCGGCCAATACGGGTGCAACAGGTCCTGGCGGAAACAAACAGAACCATTTTAAACAATAAAAATTCGTGTCCTTAAGCAAACCGCGATTTGCGTTCGCTGCTCGCCTGCAACAGTCAGTTTTTTCCAATGTTGGACACAGTGGTTTTAGTTGTGTTTGGTTTTTTGGTTTTTTTTTTTTTTTTTTTTTACTCGGTCTACTCAAAGATGCATGCAGCTCCCATAGTTTTGACTGGGGTTTGTTTGTAAGTTTCTTGTGTTTCCGAAACTGGGCAGTGATGCAGAGGCTCCTTTTTTGTCTCAAAGTCCCAAGAAAACCTCGCTTAAAGTGTTTGGAAGTCACTGAACCTTTAACAGTGTTTCTGTAAATCTTGCAAATACGAGATGCCCTGTTTTCTCTTGGATCTGTTCCCTTTTTTCCCCCAAGCATAACAGATGGCTTCTCAACACAGGTTTCCTTAAGTACTAGTGAAATAAATTTTGCTATCTGTAACGATACAGTTGTAGTAAGAACATTGTTACAGCAATCTGCAGTTACCTGTTAAGAGTAAATTTGTATGTGGGAAGGACCAGGGGATACCCAGCTTTACTTAATATTTCAGCATTCGAGTACCAGCTGACATTGATGATGGCTGTTATTCTAATCTAGTGTGTTTCCGGGTTTGTTCTTAAACAGTGTGGACTGTAGCTCTCTTACTTGGGATACAGAGTGGGTGCTTGTGAGCTGAGACAATGCACATTCATGGCTTCTGGGGCCTCAACTGATCTAACTTGATAGTTTAGAAGTATGGCAGTAAGGAAGGGGCAGGAAGTGCTTTAGTTACATTAGAAATTTTTTTTTTTTTTTTACATTTGGACACTTTGGCTGTTCAAAACAAAAGTGTATAGAAGTCACGTGCATTTTGCATTATTCCTCTGTGTGTTTTTTATGTCAAAGTTGCAGATTTAATATACACACGCGTGCAGAGATACTAGGATAGTAAAAAAATTCCTGCGTATTTTTACTAGGTGACCCTGTTAAACAGGCTCGCTATCAGTTCATAGAAGATAATAGACAAGGGTGTCAGACTGGTTCATTTCCAGTCAGGTTGGAAACAATACAACACTACAACTGTATTGTGGTATTCTCACAGGGATCAGCTTATAGTGAGTGACTGTATCTCAGATTCTTTTGAGTGAATATACTTAAGGCAGAACAGTGATGGTGGTATAACTCTGCTGTAAGTCCCTCCTAGTGTATTCACAGGCCTTGGAACTGATCCCCAAATACCTCAGATAATGGTGTGAAGAAGTTCACGAGACCAAACACGTCACTTGTGCACCCTAGCTCTGTGAAGTAGATAACTTACACTACTCTTCTGTAGATACAGTCAGTCTTTTTTTTTTTTTTTTTTTTTTTTTTTCCGCCACAGAGGTGTGCTTATTCTTATAAAAGAGTTGTCTTTGCCTGTCTTGCATGCGTTGTCTTCACATGAATAGCCTTTCCTGGTTAGTGCCATGCTTTGTAGCCTGAATCAAGCCACTCATGTTCATAGTTCGTTTCATGTTTGTGGCCGTGAGGCATGTCCTCTGCAAAGCCAAGGGATTGCTTTCTATGGCTAGCTGTCCTGTGTGTGGAAGTTCCATATATATATATATAAGAAAATGGGACACGGGAACGTAAAGTAATGATAAGCCACCCCTGTGTCTGACATATAGCAGAGCTTCCAGGATCATACTGGACTCTTGCTGAAATTAAGGGTTAAAGATTGTATATGCATGTGGGGATTTGAGAATGTTCCTTCCTACAATCTGTCCTGTTTATTAGTGTTACATATAGCATTACTTATATAGACTTTTGTAATGAAATTTGTAATTTTTCTGAGGTCTCACCTGTATGGTTGGCTTTTGGGGTGGGTTTTTTCGCTATTTTCACCATTCCAGCCTTCTCTTCAGCTTGGAATCAAAGACTCTAGAACCCAAATCCCATCTCATAGAATGACAGCTGTCTCAAATTTTCTGTCTGGGCAAAATTTCCTCTCGTTTGCATATTTTTCTAGACACCTGGGGTTTTGTGGGGGTTTTTTGAGTAAAAATCTGGTTGCTGGCTGAAGTGTGGCTTTTCTATAATTATTCAGGTTGTAATAGCAAAATCCTGTATTGTGACTACAGTTGATTTTGTTGTGGGCCAGTCATCTTTACCAGATCTCCAAAAGTTGAATGAAATCTCTCACATTATTTCAAGCTGCAGTGTTCATCTTTTCTTCAGTTCTAGAATATCTTTCGCTGGGGTTAATGAGCACTGAAGTCCAAACACATGTTTTCTTTAAAGAGAATATGAGCCCATTATGAAATAAAATCCCCTTGTTGCTGTAGAGATAGCTGGAGAGGTTTGAGACCAAAGTGAATGGGTGGTGTTACCTATATTGTCCTATGTCTCTATGTTCACTGTGATGAAACCTAATAGCATTTATCCCCCCAACTGTAGAGCAGCTGTGTACCTTATTCCCCTCAGATGAAGGCCTGACTATTGACCTGAAGAATTTCCGGAAGCCTGGTGAAAAGACCTTCACCCAAAGAAGCCGCCTGTTTGTGGGGAATCTGCCCCCAGATATTACAGAGGAAGAGATGAGAAAGTTATTTGAGAAGTATGGCAAGGCAGGTGAAGTCTTCATACACAAAGACAAAGGCTTTGGATTTATCAGGCTGGTGAGTGACTTGCTACCTTTGGGGTGTTTTTGTGGCAATGACTCACACTGAAGGGGTGTTGCTAATTGGAAGTAGTAGATGTTCAGATATCTTTCTAATTAAGCCTTCTGCTGATTTTAGTGATCTGGAGTATGGGTTCAGCTAATATGAGTGGTTTGTCTAGAGATTGTTATGAGAAGGAATGTGAATTCAAGCAGCTTATGGCAGGATTTAAGAGATATCTGATAAAGTTATTCTGAAGTCAGCTGGTAAAACACGGAAAGAGAAGATGCTATTATAGACAAGGAGGACTTCTATTTTCTGGAAGGGTGTGAACATGAAATTTCTATGAATATAGGTTGTCATGCAGTATTACTGGAGTGATGAATACTCTTGAGGTGGGGGATCTCCAGATGATCATGTTGAAGTGTGGCTAGGAGGGAGGTAGCTACTGACTTTATTGGCTCATATACTACATTTCTGAAAGCCCCAAGGTGAGCGGATGGAGCATGAGGTTCCTGCACAGAAGTCTAGGGTGCTTTGCTGTAGTGTAGCTGCTTGGTAGTGACTGAAATGAGTGGAAAGGTGTGAAACTTGGCATAGGATGTCTTTCATTGATTGTCATACAATCAGCATTTCCTCTTACGGTTATCAGACTTGGCTAGTAGTTGAATCTTGATTTTTATCTTTTTTTATGTTTTTATTTGAAAGAGAGGCATGCTTTGTAGCCTTAATATTATTATATCTGATAGATAATGATCATTTAATTGTTTGCTTAGTTCATACTAGCTGTTGGATTAAGTTTACGTCTGATACGGTTTTTTTCTTTCCCCCCAAACGGTACCTGCCTATTCAGCTAGTGTCATTGATAATAGAGAATAGCTATGGTTTGTTAGGACACTTTTTACCATGCTATGGGAGGATTATTTGTGAAGTAATTGTCCAGGAGAGATAGGCTTGTGACTCTGTTGTGACTGTGACTCGCTGATTCTGTACTACATTGAGAGTTTTAATGATAACTTTTTTTATCTTCAGGAAACTCGCACTCTGGCAGAGATTGCAAAGGTGGAACTAGACAACATGCCTCTACGTGGGAAGCAGCTAAGAGTGCGTTTTGCATGCCACAGCGCATCGCTGACAGTCAGGAACCTGCCTCAGTTTGTGTCCAATGAGCTCCTGGAGGAAGCCTTCTCAGTGTTTGGCCAGGTGGAAAGGGCTGTGGTTATTGTGGATGACAGAGGACGATCCTCTGGGAAAGGCATTGTGGAGTTCTCAGGGAAGCCTGCTGCTAGGAAAGCCCTGGATAGATGTAGTGATGGGTCTTTCCTGCTAACTACGTAAGTGTGGAGGACAAGAAGTGCTATACTGGCATGCGTGCAGGTTGATGGGTGGCATTGGCTTGTGAGCAATGTTTCTTAACACTAGAGCGGGACAGATGATATACGGGGCAGGAGGTGGTAGGTGAGTTGTCTGGGGAGAACTTTACTTAGCTTAGTTCCAACAAGAGTGAGTCTGTGCTGAAACTCAGGTCTGAAAACTTTTCTTCTGGGAAGCTGCTAGTGGGGTAAGTGCATGAAACTTCCCAGTAAGCTCTTTCTCGATAAAGCCTTCTTAGGGCAATTAAAGCAGCCTTTAAGAAGCAGGAGCTATTTCAGAGTCCATCCATATAATTTGTTGGAAACAAAGCTCAAGTTTGTTAATTATGCACTCTGGGTTGCTTCAGAGGTGAGTCTTGGGATAGGACTCTGCTCAGCAGCACGCACTGCTGATCCACAACTACGGGCATGGGATCTGTTGGAGAAGCTGATCAGATAGATTGGATTGTTTGGAGTTTTCACTATAATAAACTGTTTTCCGTGTGCTTGAAATGTCATAAGTCAGCAAAGCATGTTCTTGCATAATTATGTGAACTTGCTCAAGTAAATGACGAATTCTAGATGCATTCCACAGAGCATGGATTGTTGCTGTAACTCGGGAGGGAGCAGTTTTTGGTCTCTTGGAAATAAAAATTACTGTATATTTTGTGTGTGTGCACCTAGAATTTGTGAATAGAATACTTCTTGAAATTGGGACCATATATTGCTAATTTCTAAAATAATTTTATAAGCTTTTTGCTTCTCACTCGTCTCCTTTTTTTTGGAGGCCTGCATATGACACAGCTGTACACAAGCACGTTCAGTTTCAAAAAGCAAGTGTTTTGTTGGGTTTTTTAATATCTGTTTTTCTCCCTGAGACTCTTCAGGCATAACCAGCATAGCGCGTAGTGGTCTGTAGGAGGATTGCTGTTAGGGAGCTTTTGCTGATTCAGAAGTCTGTATCCTGAAAGAACTGTGACAACAAATTAAGTGATCATGCAAAACTAATCACTACCAGTGTGTAACTGAGAGCACCTGAGGGTAACATTCAACCTTTTTGTAGTGATCAGGCTATTAGATTCTGATATCTAGGACAACAAACCAGTATGTTGTTTATTTCTAGTTTTGTTTTGGTTTTGATGATATTTGTTCTGGTTTGTCCTAGTTCATGACAGTGCCAGATAGATAAACTGGTTGGAATTGGTTCACATCGGAAAATAAGACTATTAATAATGGAATATGTCACATCGAAGTGAAAAGCTACATTGTGGATCTTCAGCTGAGAAGAGAGATTTTTAGCCTCTCATATCCAGCCTTCCTCCTGGAGTCTGGGTGCCACTTGGCATAGCGTGATCATTTCTCTTCCATTTCCCCAGCTCTGGCAAATGGAGCTGAGGAGCCTAATGAGAAGCTGTGGTGCTGCTTTGTGCTGAGGAAGAGCAATGTCAGTGCTGTGGCAGGGAGCTAATTCAGAGACTGGGGACACTTCTGTTAAATACTTTCTTCCGCACACAGAAACCAGGGGGACAGAAGCACACATGTGCAGTGTCTGTGTTGTGAAGTGCACCAGTGGATTTCTTGCGGGGGAGGGAGAGGGGGAGTTCAGGCACTTACAGAGCACTGCTGCTTGGCAATAAAGTCACATGATGGTCTTACCAGGAGAGTATGACTGAATGGTACAGTGAGCAACCTCCAGTGAGGAGCAGTGTAGTTACTCTTCACTTTACGCAGATATAAAAAGGCACACAAGGACTTGTGCAGCCCATGGTTGGACATGTAGCAGGGGAGGAAAGGGAGAAAAAACAGGCTCTAAGGACTACAAGACTGCTGAGTAGATCCTACTGGAGGATGTCAGGTTCCAGTTAAGCTGTTAATTTGAACCGGTAACTGCAAGTATGCTTCTTTCAGTACAGTTTTGGTTTGGATTCAACAAAGATTTTGATTAGCAGTTCAGCTCCTATTCTGGAAAGAAATAAAAAGTGTTAAAAGTTATTTTGGGGTTTCACTTTGGTTGAGATTCCAACCCGCTCTGAACTTCTTTGAGCAGTGCTAAAAGCAGTATTTTATAAGTTCAGACTCAGTATATGTGCTTTCCTACACTGCAAGCGCATTCACGAATTTTCTTGAAAGCACCTCATCTTTTCTTTGCAGATTCCCTCGGCCTGTCACTGTGGAGCCCATGGATCAGTATGATGATGAAGAGGGACTACCAGAGAAACTAGTCATCAAAAACCAGCAATATCACAAGTATGTGCCTGCCATGTGACAGGAGATGAGACTACCTGTGGACTAGGACATTGCCTGCCTCAGTCTTAGGAGGGTGGCTCATCAGTGCTACTAAAGGTCCTCCTTTTTTCTGTAAATGTGGCCTGACTGGAAAGAGAATTGCATACGCTGTTCTCTTGCCATGGTTAGCTGAAAGAAAGCAGTGGGTTTGGATCCACGCTGCTGGATAAGACTGGCAGCCTTCACATATTTTTCATAAGTCTATTTCAGTTGTTGGACTAAAAAATTGTGTCAGTTTGAGGTAATGTGAGCTCCCCTTGCTCAGGTGAGAAGCCAAAGCAAAGACCTAAGTTACTTGCTCTAAGTATTGTGGAAAGTCTGTAGAAGAAACAGATTTGAACCCATAGTGAAAACTTAAGGAATTATGTGAATAACATTAAGAGATTGTAGAGCTATCCAGGTATAAGGCCATGGTCTTTGAAAGCTTCCCAGTGTAAGCAGGTATCATGGGATCTGAGCAGTGGGAATTAGTAAACCATGTGAGCTCATGAATTTTTCAAGTAAGGAAGATGAGAGCTTCAGGAGCTGGGAGGCTGCATTAGGAATAGTCATGTGCTCCAGGTGCAGGGACTGCAGAGATTAGTGAAATAAATACACGTTTTGGCAGTGTTTGTTTGTGGAATGGATTTGTCCATAAGACATACACCAGGAGCAAAGGCTATTTCTTTCAAGAGTATTTCTAAATGTCTACCCATAATCTTCTGGTGTCTTACAAAAGCAGTGTCATTGCTTGTTATGGAGGAGGGCAGGACACAGTTTCCATGTATAATTAATCCTGCAGGAGGATTCTGCCTAAGTTTCTCCTTTCAATAAGAAGATTCCTGAGGAGCAGACAAACTGGTATCTCAGGCATAGCTATTTGTGAGAAAGTAGAAGACAGACTGGTTCCGTATTTGTTGCACTAAGAAATGCATTTCTGACTGTTACAAGGATCTGCCATTGCATCTAACAAGTAAATGTATTTCTTTTGGCTCCTTCTTGCTCTGTTGAAGCACTCACTAGCTCTTCCTTGTTTGACAGGGAGCGTGAGCAGCCACCTCGATTTGCACAGCCTGGCAGCTTTGAGTACGAATATGCCATGCGTTGGAAGGCTCTAATAGAAATGGAGAAGCAGCAGCAAGAACAAGTAGACCGCAACATCAAGGAAGCTCGAGAGAAGCTGGAAATGGAAATGGAAGCAGCTCGCCATGAGCACCAAGTTATGCTCATGCGGCAAGGTACCACTCAAAGATAAATGCAGTATCAGAACGTGGCCCTGCAATATCCAGGGGTGGTAACTCAGTAGACTAGATAGAGCCCACTAGAGGTGAGCCGTGGTGTAGCAGCTTGACTTGTAACCAAGCGTGGTAGTGGCAAATGATTGGAGAGATGTTACTGTATTGCTGGAGGCTCTGTTATTCACTTGTGTGTTATGGTTCCAGTTCAGGAGGTGGCATGGGAGATGAGTTTGATGGGGTTTTTTACTGTTGTCTTTTACAGATTTAATGAGACGCCAGGAAGAGCTGAGGAGAATGGAGGAACTGCATAACCAAGAAGTACAAAAACGTAAACAGTTGGAACTCAGGTAAGGGGGTTATGAAATGCTTGAATCCATAATATTATGGAATGAAAACGCTTCTTCAGTGCACCTAATTGTTCAGTGTGACAATTTTAATTTAATCACTACCTAAAGTGTGGCTGTTATTTTGGGCCTTTTTGTTTACAGGGAGAGTGTACAGTTGGTTTAAGATGGAAGAGTTAGGAGTTTCTTCCACTGATTAGTATTTGGGGTGTTTTTTCAGTTCTGTGTCTCAGTTTAGCTCCTTGACTGAGGCAGATAGAAAAAATCAGAATCTGTGCAGTGATTTGGTGGCTTCAGTGCTGCATATTGGGAAACCCCATTCTAGGATCTGTCTTTTCATTTGAGGGGTAACTTGGTCTCAGTTAGTATCTTAGATTCTTATCCAATCTAAACCTTCCCTAGCGCAACTTAGAATCATAGAATCATTTAGGTTGAAAAGACCTTTAAGATCATCAAGTCCAACTGTTAACTCATACTATCACTTGCTGCTTGGGAAGTGAGACTGACACCCAACTGGCTACAACCTCCTTTTAGGTAGTTGTAGAGAGTGTCAGGGTCTCCCCTGAGCCTCCTTTTCTCCAGGCTAAACAATCCCAATTTCCTTAGCTGCTCCTCAAGAGACACACACATAGGTGTATTCATGTTGGGTTTTATAATAAACTCCTTAAAATTGAAAGTGTTGGAAAAGTCTTGGTGTGCATACGTGTTTGTTTTCATCATGAGGTACCTAATACTTTACAGCCTTTGCAAAATAATATTCTTAAAATTGTAGGTTTCCAAATAAGACTCATTAGACAGCACTGCAACACTGTGATGCAAATGGTTGGTGTATGTTGTGCTGAGCATCTGTGGACCTTTTTTGCAGGCAAGAGGAAGAACGCAGGCGCCGTGAGGAGGAAATGAGAAGGCAGCAAGAAGAGATGATGAGACGCCAGCAGGAAGGCTTTAAAGGGAATTTTGCTGATGCGGTATGAGTGCTTCTACCTTCCCACTACATTTGAACACTGACATTAGATTTGTGCCCTTCCACAGCATGGGGCTTTCTGTGAATGCTTAACTTGTTGGTTGAGGGACTCTACATCTTCAGTGCATTCTGCCCTAAATTATTAACTCCCTCCAATTTTAATACAGTTTAGTCTGGAAAATATAAATACCCCAGTTACTGTCCCACTGCTGTTCATGTAGGACTTTCACTACCTGTCTTGCTGTTCAGAAGAATGTATGCTAACTAATTTTATTCTAACAGTAATGAACATGTACTGTCCTGAAGTACTGCTGCAGAACCCTGTTTTGGTCATACACCTGGCTATATCCCTAGCCTGCAGTCTGTCTTAGTCATGCTTAGATGAAATGATCCCAACTTGAGGCACTGCTGCAGGCATGATAATTGCTTGTACTTAAGTCAGTTGGTCAAGTATTTTCTTGTAATGTAAAATGTGTGGTAACCTGTCTTTTAATAGCATTATCTCTAGTTCTGTGAAGAACTGTCTTACAATTAATTCCCAATTCCAGCAACTTTCTATTGTGGAGGCAGCTGTAGTGCTATCGAGGTGGTATAATGGCACCAATGCAACTGGGTGGCAAGTGTTTATGTATCTTAATGAAAAATTGACCCCTAAGCAAAATAGCTAAATGTATGTTAAGCCAAAAGGGCCAAAACTGTGTGACTGACTTAAATGTGTGAATATTACTCTCCGTAGCAGAACTCCTGATTTCTTTAAATAGTGTCTTCATATGATAAACAGAGGCACTGAGACTACAGATGAATTGAAATCTGTTTTTCAGTTCTCACTGTGGAAAAAGTGAGGAGATGTCACTAGCTTTGCAGTGAGCAAGATCTGTGATGTGTTCTCTATGCTTGGTTAACAAAAGAGAAATTGAATTCACTAACTGGTATTTTAATGCAAGTGAACTAATTCTAGCTAATCTCAGCAGATCTTTCCATCCAGATATCAGATATCTCTTTATGCTGCTGTTAGTAAAATCTGCACGCACAGCTTTGCTGCTGGATGTTTTACCATGATGGTGAAAAAAAAGTTGTTCAGAATGAGATATTTTAAATAAGACCTGTTTGTTCAGCAGTTAACTGTGTGAAGGTAGCTCAGATTTCTTTTGAAATTTACCGTGGAATGACTTTTCTACATGGTTTTCAGTAGTAGAGCCTCAGAACTCATTGAATTTTTGCAATTACATTTTAAAAGCCTGATTCTTTTATCATTTGAAATGAGTTTCTCTTTTTCCAGAGGGAGCCACCAGACATGCGAATGGGACAGATGGGTATGGGAGGTAAGAGTATTCTGTGGCCACCTTTTTTTCTATGCACGTTCCTTTCCTCCTTTACAAAATCTGTACATTTTTTGAGTAGTCTTTTTTTATTGGCTTTGTAATTAGAAACTCAGTCATAGTAATCTTCTCCCAGTTCAGTGACAGGAAACAACAAAATTTGGGTACGAGGCAGTACTGTAGATTTGTGAAAGACTCAGTTCAGTAAGGAAAAGACTTGACTGAAGTTCTATCAGACCCATAGTGTGCTTCCAAAGTTTGTACTGATACAGAAACTGGTACAACATGTAGTGCTAGACCTTGAGCTCAGGAAATAAAATGTGGAGATACAGTAATCAAGATTGACTGCGTGGTTTAGAGTTTCAGACCACATGTGCAAGAGCAAGTGAAAAAGCGATGGGGGCTTAGTGGTTAATGAAGGTGGTGTTAGAGCCTGCTGTGGTTTCAGATGGTACTGGAATGCAAGTTCAGTTTCTCTTTACCTAACAGTGCAAAGCTAGTTAATAGACTAGGACTCTGTCCCTGAATATAACATTGTGGGGAGCTTACACGGTGTCTTGTGGCTCTAGAGTGAGGAGTAGGCTCCAGTCACTGTGTCTGCCAGGACTATTCTTCAGTTTTCTTTTCCAGGTACCATTGGCATGAACAATAGAGGAGCTATGGGTGGTACCAATGTCCCAGCTGCTGCACCTCCTGCAACTGGTCCTGGAGCTATGATACCTGATGGAGCCATGGGAATGGTAATGTATTGCTATCTGCTTTTTGTGCACAACTTTTAAATGCAGACTGTGTTGTTTCCATTGTTAAGCACTATGCTGCTAAAGTTGAAACTTGTTTGTCTACCTAGACCTGTTGCTTAACTCCTGCTGAAAAATTTAATG